CAAATATCGAACCTTCCGAGCTTAAGTCAACTAGGCCAACTCTATGCAGGAAAGAAGCACTCTAATTACAAGTGACACTAGCAACAGATTGATAAACGAGTATTATCTCAATCGAATTCAAGGTCCCTCCAAATCTCTCACCTTCGCAAATTTCACCATCACCGAAGAAACCGGTCTTGCAGTCACAGTAGTATGAACCGATATCATTGATGCAATTAGAATTTTCACCACAGTTGTGTGTACCCACAGTACATTCATCAAGATCTACGTAGAGTAGATAATAAGAAAATCCCATAAAGATAAGTATAAATATAAGGCTATGAGACGAAAGTAGAGCGTTTAAAAATCGAGCTGCATGTATTGAAACCAATCAAGCTTCACCAGAACACAAACACTGGATTGGAGATCGCACGAAAAAGTGAGTCATTCAATTTTGTCTTCTGGAATTGAGCTAGCTCAGATTTTTCGTCAGAGTGCCAGGGAGCATAATATAGCTTTGTGTTTACGTGAAACCATTAAGGAAATCTGTTACAATCATTCAGTTAATCTTTTGGGTTATCGTTCGTGGATTTTTGATTTTCCGTGATTCAAGTAGACTATGAGAGCGCTTGTGGGTGTTATAGAAGATGAGACTTAGACAACTTTGCAAATAAAAGTTTAAGTTCTTAGCTTCCAAACTTTCAGGAATATGAAGAAGGCTTGAGAGAAATGACTTCTTTTGCTGTAAATGAAGTAGCGTTGGAAATATCTGGCTCAGTTATTAACAAGTTATGCAGCCTAGGACGTGTCTATATTCAAGATTTCTACCGTTCCTGCTGTTACCTGAACAAGTGAAGCCATCCCCAGTGTAGCCTCGATTACATGTGCAGGAGAACGATCCTTCCGTGTTGTTACATCGTGAGTAAAAATTACAGTTATTAGCTCCAGGTAAAGCGCATTCGTCGATGTCTGCAAAAAGGGGCTTTCCTGATTATCGATTGCAATATTTAATTCATCAAATATTTTCGCTTGCGCGCGATTGGTTTAAACGTGTCACGTGACTGAATATTCCCCAGCTAAAACTGGGGAATATCCGAGCGATATTCCTCAATTTTCAAAACCACGCGTGTTGCAAAAAATATTTGAAGGATAATACACAATAGCCTCCATTTAGCGCTCCATTTAGCAAATGTGCTCGGATATTTCTCCTTGGACATTATCTGTTTCTCAAAGCTCACAGTTTTCCTCGAGCTATGCTCTCGGAGAACTGCTCGCTGCTCGGAACAGATAATGTCCGCGGACATAAATCCAAGCATATTTCCGCGCCAAATAGAGGCTTTTGTTTATTTATCGACCACAACGTGGCAGCCTGTTTAAGGTTTAGTTGAAAAACAGCGCATAAACGGTGAGAGAAAAAAGGTGGCGGGAAGAATGCGGAGAGGGAATGGTTCTCATTACCAATCCCTTCGCTACCATTTTTCCTTCGCCTTTTAATTTTGCGCTGCTCCAAAACTAAACAGACGTCCAAAGCACTCTACAGCTAATGAAACAGGCTACGACGTATCATTGCCGAACGACACTCTTGAGTTCGATAATCGGTGTGAAAGTAATTAAGCCAGCCACTACGCCGATAAATCGGCCAGGCGGTCAGCCAGTCAGTCAGTCGGTCAGTTGGTAAGTTGATGAGTCGCTCAGCCAGTCAGTCATCGAGTCAGTCAGTCAGTCAGTCAGTCAGTCAGTGTCAGTCGCTCAGCCGGACAGTGAGGCAATCGGTTAGTCAGTCAGTCGAGTTAATCAGTCAGTCAGTCAGTCATAAAGTTGTTGTTAGGTTGTTGTTCAGTCGGGTTAATCAGTCAGTCGGTCAATCGGTCTGTCAGCGGTGGCGGATCCAGACCTTGAGCTGGGGGGCGGTCAGTCAGTCAGTCGCTCAGGCGAGTGGGTTAGTCAGTCAGGCAGAAAATCGACCATATGATCAGTATACCAGTTGCCTAATCGTTCTGTCGGTCAATCAGGAAGTCATAATGTTCACTGAAACGAACCACTTTGATAAACCCATCCACTTACCTTCGCAGGTCGTTCCATCACCAAAATAACCATCATAACATTGGCAGTAGTAAGACCCCTGTGTATTAATACACTCTGCTTTCTCTGAACAGCCTCCACGGTCTGTTAAGCATTCATCTTGATCTGCAAAACAAGTGCGTCACTGAGCTTATACCTCTCCTATGTTAAAATGCATACCATTATTATGAACTTCTTGATCCTAACAGAGCAAGAATCTCCTTAATTCAAGTTCTGATAATCTGGCGGTACATGAAAACAAATTTTTTGAGTACCATTCTGTACCAAGGATAAGTAGTAAGTTAAGCAGTTACAGAGTGGGTTACAAAGAAAGGCTTAGTAAAAGGCGACCAGACCTATAAATTTGCATGTATTGCTTTTGATGTTTAACTGCATAACTTGTTACTTAACAACTCGCTGTTCAAATATACGATTCATGCCAAGTATGTCAAGTTCGCTCTTTCTTACCGATGAATGAACATTCCTCGGGAACTATAACGATTTCCTTTGGGTTTACTTCAATGCTTTTCTACTCTGACCCCGTGGCCCATGGGACACATAAGCCATTTCTGAGTTCCTCTTACCTCTGCTTCACAACGAGTCTTGGTGCAAAACCTTTCATATTGAAATGAGTTTTTCTTGCACGGTCATTTTCCTGCAATTAAACTCATTTCTGTATGAAAGGTTGTGCAACAGGACTCGTTTTGAAACTGAGGTAAAAGCATGTATCTCCATCCCTGGTGAATCTCGAAAACTCTAGCCAAATGTTTTCAAGCTTCTCAGTCTTCTTCAATCCCATCATCTCCTCGCATTTTTTTTGTGTTTGTTTTTGTTTTT